CGCTTTTACTCTCGCTGTCGGTGTCACCCAGCTTACGCAACTCATCCTTGGTGTTGGTAGAGTCGTTCAGGAGCTTGAACTTCTTTGCAGAGTACGCAGCTTTCACATTGCAGATCAACTCCTGGTCCATAGGCTGGATTAATGACGTAGTGTTGGGAGGAAGGAAGACCACTTTTACGTTGGGGTGACGATCCATAAGTAGGGGCGAGTGTCCTGGTGCGTTGTCAAGGAGCAACAAAATATTGAATGAAACATTCTGTTGCTCGCAGAATTTCTGCACGTCAGGAACAAAACAGTTGTCAAACCAGAAGAGGGACAGAGAAGAGGACATCCACGCCTTACGTGCGGTTAGCCAGTGGACATTAAGCTTGTTCATGTCCATATTCTTGTAGGCGTGCGGCTTGCGGGCTTTGTGAATCACCGATAACTTTGGTTTACAGGTACCGGAGGCATTGGTGGTAAACAGGACGGTGATGCGTTCCTTCTGCATCTTCCGGCCCCTTACCTTGCTCGCAGACTGGACAACGAAGGTCTTGGAAGGTAACTTTTTCCAGAAAAGACCAGATTCGTCCATGTTAAACACCTGGTCGTCACTGTACTGTCCTTCCTCCATAATCTCACGTAAAAACGGAGGAAAATCTCTAGCCGCCGCACGGTCAGCACTCGCTTCCTCACCACCAATGTTGATGTTGCTGACCTTGTTCCTCTTCTTAAACCTATGCAGCCAACCAGAGGAAGCATTGAAGGGTTTGGGCTCTGCAATTCCCAGTTTACGTGTCACTGCTGCGTATAGCTCACGTGCGTACTCCTGCACTGAGCGCGTGTCCACCGCCATGTTGCGTCGCGCCTGACGCACCAAATAACTCACCAGCAAAGTTTCCACTTTTGCCAGCACCCTGTTCTGGCAATACCTGATAGATGAAGCACCTGCAGACTTTGTGATCTTCATGTGGTCTTTGATCTTGGCTGCATTTTTCTTGATTGTACGAATCGTAGATTCGTTGACGCCATGCTGGCGCGCGAGATCAACTTGGCGTCTTCCTTTCTCCAAATCTTGAACAATTTGGTACTTCACCTCGTAGCTTAATGAACGTCGTGTCTTCTTTGGTTTAGTGCCGCTGGGTCCAGGTGAGGAAAGGTCTCTCTCTGGGGGCGGTGGTGGTCCGGCGGAAGCCATTTTACGGAACAATGGATGCGCGTTAACCCGGGGTGGCCTTGAGGGATGAAACTGCCGCGGCTAGGTCAAGCGTCGTCTCTCCTCCCTCCCTCCCTCCCCGGGGTAGTCACGTCATAATACTTTAAGCCAATTACAGCTAGCAGCAGAGGGGGGTAGGGCTGCATGGCCAATCACAGTCCGAGACGTCATATGACGTCAGTGATAACGCAACAAAGACACACACTGCGCAACCTTACCGCGCCGCTTGCCCAAGCGGAGGGAGGAGGAGGGAGAGGCAGGCAGGGCGGGCGGGCGGGTGGCGCGTGGCGCGTGGGCAAAATCTAAAAATAGCATCCGAGCCGGACACTCACCGCGTATATGTAGAAAAAATCCGCGTTAAGTGAAAGTTCAGCTTTGGCAAGGCACCGCGTATATGCGAAAACGCGTTAAGTGAAACCGCGTTAGGCGGGGTAAAACTGTATACTTCACCGCGTATATGAGTAGATGCACCGCGGAAAGTGAAAGTCTGGTTCTGGCAACGTACCTTTTAAATGAGAATTGCGGAAAGTGAAACCGTGTAAAGCGGGGTAATACTGTATACTCTTACTCTTAAATCACTACTGTAATGTGATACAGGTGATCAATTTTATCTCTTGTGTAAAATATATGACGTTTATATTCAAATTATTAGCTGTCTTGCAAGGATTCCAGCAATGCAAATTATATTTTCCTAACTTTAGTCTAAGATATTATATAAGATAAACACTTTCAAGCCTAATGAAAACACCAAACTTTTGTCTGGGAAGGTGGGGGTAGGGAGGGAGGGAGGGAGCGAACGAGTGAGTGTGGGAAGAGGGGGGGAGCAGGAGGTGAGGTGTATTTTGATTGACAGATAGTGCGTCTGGTGAAGTATTTAATTTGTTTATTTACTTGAGTTTTTGTTTTTAGCTCAGAAAATTCATAAAAATAACCGGGCAGAATATAATTTACATTGCTGGAATTCTTATAAGATAGTGACTAATTTGAATATAAACAAGCTAAAATTTGCATTAGACATACAAATTTTAGATCTAATTTAAGAATTTTATTAGAGAGCAAAAATTTTATCTTTTGTGCAAAATATATGATGTTTATATTCAAATTATTCGCTGTCTTGCAAGGATCCCAACAATACAAATTATATTCTCCTAACTTTATTCTGAGACATTACCGTATATAAGATTACAGCCTATTGTATAACCAGCAACCTTCGCTGGGAGGATGGGGGGGGGGGAAGGAGGGGTGATTGTGACATGTTTGACAGTTAGTGCCGAGGTCTGGTGAAGTATAAATTTGTTTATTTATGTCCTTTAGATTGCGTATTTGGTTTTTGCTTATACAATTTCATAGACGTGACCGGGAAGAATATAATTTACATTGCTGGAATACTTATAAGATAGTGATTAATTTGAATGTAAACATGCCCTAGGTTGCACTAGACAAAAATTTTAGTAATCATTTTGTACATTATTCTGATTACATGTACAGTGGTCCCTCAGTTAACGAGCACCTCGGTTAACGAGATTTCGGTGAACGAGTTACCTTCCATAAGATTCTTAACTTCGGTTAATGAGCAATCCCTCGATTAATGAGTTTCTTACGAGCCGACCTGAAATTGTTTTCGCTTGCATTTGGTGGTCCACCAGCTGTAGTATTAGTCCGCCAATACAGTAATCGGTTCTAGGGCTTAAATTCCTTACCATTTTAACAAATATCAAGAAGGTTATACTATTCAATAATTTTAAAAGTTTAATATTAAATTTTTTAGTAATTTTAACAATTATTGAACATAATTGAAGGTAATGAAACTAGTTTTGTGCGCGTCATCCAGCCTCTCAACACACCATACAGGCGTCAGTCTTTGTGTCTTTTCAGTGGAGGTAACATCTTGCTTGAGACTCTCTTCAACTAAATGCTTTTTTCTGTGTTTGCAAGCAAATTATTGGTCATTTTGAAATTTATTTTAAATATTGACAATATATAATGCAGTGCAGTGTTGATTTAAAGAAAATAATCTTGAATTACACAAAGAGAACTAAAATTTTATGGGTGAAATGGGGTGACTTCTCTTCCACCCCAATGCCTTCTCTTCTCCCTTCTCCTCCACCCCCATTCTAATTCCCATCATCATCATCATCATCATCCAGGAGCCTTCTACATACACACCTCAAAGTAAGAGTACTTTTCTACCTTTTATGTTGAATTTAGGCAATTTTCAGTGAGCCGGAACCAATTATCCAAAAACCCATTGAAACAATGGTTTCGGTTAACGAGTTTTTCGGTTAACGAGCAACCTTCTAGAAAGGATTGTGCTCGTTAACCGAGGGACCACTGTACAGTTCACCTTTGCCCTTAGGACAGTGTGTGCATGTAAATGAGTTTCAATAAATGAATAAAGTTACATATATCGAGCCAAAAATAATAGTTGAAAAACTTTATGTAGACAGCTTGGATAGCTAAATTTTAGAATGACCAATAATTTTAATACTGTATAAAAAATGCGCAAATATTAAAGAGCACATTTTTCTTGATATTTCCTCCATTGGAAATTAATGTAAATATAGAAGAGATTACTGAATTGGCTGAGTACCTCCTGAGCTTATCAGCTGATGTTCAAAACAAAACGTGATTTTCGTAAGGATTTCTTTAATCAAATTTTTTTCGTTAACCGAATTGAAAATTGTTATGGATGGTAATTCGTTAACCGAAATTTCGTTAACCGAGGCGTTATTTAACCGAGGGACCACTGTATATGCGATTACTTACAACACACCTTGTTAACCAGTTGTTGGCTTGGTGATTAAAGTTGTGTTATGGCAGCTCAGATACACTAATGCAAAAACAAAATCTCCATATTCATTTTACAAAGTGTCAATAAATCATGAACAAATTACAAAACTATGGAGGATTTTAGTCTCATTCTTCTTGTATATTGTTACCAATGAACACTAATCCCATCCACTTCTCTCCACCAATATTCTTCCCTCAATTTACTAGAAGCTATATAATTAACAGAAGTAAATTATATAGCTATCAATTAAGTGACAGTTTACTTACTATACTTATTTACATAGAAATAATAATTATAATATGACCTAGACACAGGTCAGAACTTAACATAAGTACTCTTACTGAATAATCACACAAGAACAAGGTTAAAAATTAAGTAAACTCTTATAAGAATGTTAGAAGGTCTATTTGCACCAAGAACCACGTATGTAAAGATAATGATTCACTTAAATTCTAGTAAGACTCCCATGTATTTGCCAACAGTATCATATACATACACAGGTTAGGGGAGTTCTTAGAAATCACATATTTCACACAGATATAACTAAGGCTGGGACAAGACCCCTAAGACAAAGGAGTAAGGACTTAGTGTATAAGATGAGCCGATATGTAGGTTGGACACAGGAAGGCCTTGTAGGTAGACCCAGCAGAGACAATAGTACTGGGGAGGTGACCCGTCGACCAAAAAGGGTGTTTTTATAGTAAACTAGGAAGGTAGGAGAGCAAATGCTGCTGCTGGGCTGAACAGCGGTTTATAAAACCTCATATGGGTGGAGTTTGTGGATGACGTGACGGTCAATCGTGATTTATGATTGGTGGAATTTGCACCAAGTACTGTAACATCTGGCAAAGGGGGGCGAGAAAAGCAGGTAAGCGTCAATGGAGGTAGACGTCAGAATGGCGGCCGGCGGTCATTTCCCACGAGCAGGTTCATGTGGTACAGGTATTAGAATTTTCACGAGTGATATGATTGAGGCTATCTGAATACGTGACAATGTCTATGTTAATTTCACAGATTTAAGCCTGTGCTTGGAAGATTTGGTGCAATACAATATCTCCTGACCTCTGCCTTGCTGTCGGACATACTCACTCTGATTATGCCTGGCAGCACGATGGAAATGCACTTTGGACATGAGGTGAGCAGATGCATCTTTGTCTTGTAACCTTAAGATAATACTGTGTTCATCATCTGGTGAATTAAAATAAATTTTTGTTGTTACTCTAAGAGAAAATCACATTTTCAAATAACAGTAAACAAAGCAAACAAGTTTTATCAGTTACTGTATATTGTTTGTTGTTAATGTGCATAAAGTGAGAGAAAGAAGTAGCAAGTCTATAGTACACAGTGTAAGGTGTCTCCCTTCAGGAGGGAAGTGCCCTGGATGTGGTGAGGCTGCCCAGAGGGGATGTAGTCCTGATACACAAGACAAGGGGGCGGGCCCTCTTCCTCACCTGGCAGATCCTGGATGCCCAAGTCAGAGTAACTGATCATTACCCAGGTCGTGAGGCTCACTGGATCCTCCAGCTCATAGAGGAGGACACAGAAAAGGTCACGGAGGAAGATATGGAGGAGGTAAACAAAATGAGTGGCATGGAGGAGGAGATGATGATGGGTACAAAGGAATTAACAAAAGCTGTGACTCGAGGAAATGCCATCAGGTAAGAGTGAGGGGCAATGTGATGGACTGCAAGAAGTAACAAGTGTCAGATCACAATTTAAATTCTATAAAAATAATAACTTAATGTTGTTCTGAAATTCATTCAAAGGACATCTGTGAGGAGTTGCTTGAAGACACCACTGTCATGTTTTATTTGTAATTACAGTATTCCCTTATCCGAAATCCTTGGGGCTAGATGTGTTTCAGATTTCGGAATTTTTCGGATTTCGGAATGGTTAGTTTTTTTTTTTTTTTTTTTACACTTGTATTAGCCCACTCGGGCACAAGTCACTGACCCACATCGGGGCCTAGGGGGCGAAAATGTAACAATAATAATAATAATTCATAGTAAATAAAATAATACTGTAATGATAACAATAATAATAATAGTAATAATAATAATAATTCATAGTAAATAAAATAATAATGATAACAACAATAATAATAATGACTAATAGTAATAATAATAATAGTAATAATAATAATAATTCATAGGTCTAGGTCGGGTTTCTCACTTTTTTTTTCATTTTTGTATTTCTTTATATCAGTGGTGTCAAACTCAAAACCTTTCGTGGGCCAATTCTTATTTTAGTTACCCTCTTCAGGGCCAACACAAGTAGGTACTATATCACATATTTACAGGATTGAAGTTTACAGCTTCACATATTGCCTTACCTGGCTTACCAGCAATGCCTCATTTGGGTCTGATCTTAAGTACCTAAAATTCACTTTACTAAATAAACATGATTATATCTATTTCTGTAAAGATTTGACAATGATAAATTTTACCGTCATCCCGTGGGCCACACCTGACCATCCCAAGGGCCACATTTGGCCCTCGGGCCATGAGTTTGACATCCCTGCTTTATATTATTATTATTTTATTACAGTGGTCCCTCGGTTAACGAGCACAATTTGTTCCAGAAGGTACAACCTGTATAACTAAGTATATTCCGGCATCAGTTCATACACATATACACTACTGTACATTGCATTTGTTAATTTATTTCTTTCCAGACAATATGTATGATTTATTTAACTTAATTCTTTAGTAAGTCTTCTGTGGCATTCTCTTTAACAGAGTGGAGGTGGTGTAGGCAATTTCTTCCATTTTTCCAGAGTTATTTTCAAGAAATTTGTTTTGGAAACTTATAAGATTATTATTATTTTTTATGTGTATGATGTTTGAGCAGCTACACCAAGGTTTGCTCTACCAATATTCTGTTCTTACACTTCTTTCTCATTATGTGAAAGCTGTTATCATTAATATGAATATGGTCCCTTAAATTAGTTAACAAATTTATATTTTATTTATTTTTAATGGGTTAGGTACTAAGTTACAGTAGGTATTTTTTGTTTGTGAACCTATTGTGAACCTATTTATCTTTTTTTTAATATAAAATTGTGATTTTTCTTGTAGTTAGTCCTGAACATAACCCCAACTACTGGCCACCACGATCGCCTGACCTTCCCCGCTTGATTTTTTCTCTGTGATAATCTAAATCCCAAAGTGTCCTGATAAAGGACGTTGTCCAGCTGAAAGAGCGCATCACAGCGGTGGTGGTCAACATAACCCTTGAGATGCTAAAAAATGTGTGAGGGAAATTGAGTACCGTTTGTGACAGTCCATGCTACGAATGGTGCAAATGTTGATTGTCTACCCTAATGTACCCAATAAAGGTGCAAATGTTGATTGTCTACCCTAATGTACCCTACGAAAGGTGCAAATGTTGATTGTCTACCCTAATGTACCCTATGAAAGGTGCAAATGTTGATTGTCTACCCTAATGTACCCAATAAAGGTGCAAATGTTGATTGTCTACCCTAATGTACCCTACGAAAGGTGCAAATGTTGATTGTCTACCCTAATGTACCCTATGAAAGGTGCAAATGTTGATTGTCTACCCTAATGAAAGGTGCAAATGTTGATTGTCTACCCTAATGTGCCCTATGAAAGGTGCAAATGTTGATTGTCTACCCTAATGTACCCTACGAAAGGTGCAAATGTTGATTGTCTACCCTAATGTACCCTATGAAAGGTGCAAATGTTGATTGTCTACCCTAATGTACCCTATGAAAGG